TAGGTCTATACTACCTGCTCTAAAAACTAAAATGTTCAAAAAACAGTGGCAATGATGGCCTGGATTTTGACAAGATTAAAAGATCCGTCCAGGTTTTGCCAAATGGTGCATTACTTATAAAGGGGGCCCCAAACCCATTGCATATTTTCAAGCAGCCCTCTGTTGCCTTCCCAGACCAGTATAGATGCATCTTCCCAGGCAAGTGTAGATCCTTCTTCCATTGTCATTTTAGATCCATCTACCCAGACCAGTGTAGATCCATCTACCCAGACCAGCAAAGATACAGTACTTCTTCCCAGACCAGTGTAGATCCATCTTCCCATGCCAGTGTAGATCCATCTTCCCAGACCAGCAAAGATCCATCTTCCCAGACTAGTGTAGGTCCATCTTACCGTGCCAGTGTAGACCCATCTTCCCATACCAGTGTAGATACATCTTCCCATGCCAGTGTAGATTCATTTTCCCAGACCAGTGTAGTTCCATCCTTCCAGACCAATGTAGATCCATCTTTCCAGGCCAGTGTAGATCCATCTTACCTGGCCAGTGTAGAGCCATCTTCCCAGACCAGTGTAGATGTATCTTCACAGAACAGCAAAGATCCTTATTCCCTGACCAGTATAGATCCATCCTATCAGGCGGTTCTGAGCCCGTCAGAATCCTGCATACAACCAAATGAATACTGACATATTGCATTCTTCCTGGTAGCCTACAGTTAGGCTTCCTTCCAGGAGAAGAAGGTTTTCTTAGTCTCCTTCATACTGGACTGGATTAAAAGTAATTTCAAAAGTCAAAATTAATATTTATAAGCAGTTTACTTTCCGGTTTTGCCCATTACATCATATTTCTTAACAGCTGTGTGTTAGAACAAAAGTAGCAAGAGTTCATGAAACTGTGCTTGAGTTTACAGAAGGAATATTTAAGAGTTTTACAAAATGACAGGGCCCCTAAGAAAGGCACTACATGAGTCACCAAAACATCTATGTTAAATGGATCCGTCTTCCGTGTCCATATTAAATGGACCAGTTTTGCTCTGAGCAAAACTGGCAATTCAGTTTAGTATGCCATGTTAAACTCATGCAGACTTCCTCTGTCACTCCGGTACATGCTTATTAAACACACATGTACGATTGTGTTTGGGCTTTGGCTGGTAGTTGAGGAAGCTGTAGCTTACACAGGCCAGACAAAACCTTCCTCTGGCTGGCTAAGGGCAAAAGACCTGGAAGGTGTGAAGGTTGTCCCAAGCCAATAGGGCATACTGTATAACCCTAAACCCTAACAATGTCTTGTGGGTCTGCGCTTGGACAGACATGGCTATGTGTGTGAAATCCCAGTCATCCACATTGTCCACGCTTGGTGAAGATTGTGAAATCGTTTTTGTTTTGTTCAGTAGGGTTCGGTCTGCATTACTACATGTTCCCTGCAGAAACACACACTTGGCTGCAGTCACTGAGATCAGACTGGGTGAGTTCAGTCTGAGCTGGATGACACTGGGAGCTGGAATATTCTGGTCACATAAGAGAAGCAAGTTTATACTTAACACCATGAGAAACTGGTTTGGGGCAAGAAATGGCTTACAGTTAAAAACAAACAAAATAGATATATACACACACATATATATATATATATACCGGTATATATATATATATATATATATATATACACATATATACACACACATATATATATATATATAAACAAATACATGGGGGAAAAAAAAGGAAATGAGAGAGAAAGAATATGTATATATGCATGTCAAGGCAACAGATTCACTTCAATGCCCCCCCTTCCAAGTTAGCTTGCCAGTCGCCAAGTACTAGTGCTTTCACATGGGAGGGCAGGGTGTCACATGCTCCCCCATACTTAGAAGTACCGGGTATTTTTCTTCAATCCCGACAGCAATGTTGGGGGAGCGAATGAAATCATCATTGGGAAATGTATGGGTTCACTTTTAAGGAAGCAAATACACTTCAGTGTCACACGTCAGCTCCAACTATCAGGATGAGTGTAGTAGTATACGAACGGACCGCACTATCCAGAGAATTCCAATACTGCAGACTTTATGTATATCACAGCAAATCCAGTATATCAGTGAATAAAAGTGTATAAAGCAACAAATGCCAGCACTGCACGTTTCACCCGCAGGCTTATTCATAGAGGTCCTCTATGAATAAGCCTGCGGGTGAAACATGTGAGAGGTTGTAGTTGGTTGGGGGTGTGCAGTGCTGGCATTTGTTGCTTTATACACTTTTATTCACTGATATACTGGATTTGCTGTGATATACATAAAGTCTGCAGTATTGGAATTCTCTGGATAGTGCGGTCTGTTCGTATACTACTACATTCCAAGGTGCAGACGCACCGATTAGACCAGCACCTGGGGAGTCCTGATGGTGGCTAAGGAATTGGAGCGACGAGATTTCCTTTGGCTCTACATTTATCTAGATGAGTGTATTTCATTCCATAATTCTCCTTTAAGTAAATAAATGAAGATCTTGCTGTGTGAAGGTGCGTAGCCTGATGAATTACATTTTCAGATGGAACCCTTTTTCCAGTGAAAAGTGATGTAATGATACAAGATTTTGTAATGGTCTGTATCCTGGGGCTAAAAGCATAGCTAACACTTTCAGGCCTGCATTGCAGCAATACACAAATACTTGTTTAAACTGATACGTGTTTCTAAAACATTTAACATTCATTGTTGTGGTTATTTACACTGCCATTCTGATTTCCTGTGTAAGCTTTGTGAAGAATAACAATGACACCTTGTAAAAGGAGGAGAATAGAATGATAAAATATAGAATTTATTAACATAAGTATAACTATAAATCATATATTTTTTATGTCATCGTCATAGGACTGAAATCCACAGTGCAGAAATTGGCCCTAGTTTACAGGAACCTATCAGGGTAGAAATGTTGGAAGTTCTGTTGCTGACTTGGCTTTAATGGTGCATCTCATCCCAGCTTCCAATACCCAGAATGAGCATTCAGCCAGTAGGAGAGCACCCCTAATTTGTATGCTTGTTTCAGATAAATGGTTCAGAATATAGTAAAGGAAGCAAAAGAATGATAGCCATGGAGCCTGACCTCTGAAACAAGTCAGAGATGACTAAATACATTATAAGGTCAAAAGTTTGTGGACACCTGACCATCACACTTGTATCAGCATGTTGGACCTCTAATACCAAAACCAAACTATTGAGGTGTTTCCAGTGAAGGGTACTCCAAATGCTGCAGTGCACAATTTTCAGGCAATCGTGTGCTTCCAAGCTTGTCCTAACAGTTTGGGGAAGGCCCTTTTCTGTTTTGAGAAAAATTGAGAGTTTTACCCCTTGTGTGGCGCTTAACAGAGGTACGGGGAAAATGTGGAGGAAGGGGGGCAGTACTTGTTAGGTACACTGGTTCGCGCTTGTGGTGTGGTGGGTGTAAGTACGGGGGGGGGGGGTTGGTGGCGTAGGTGTGCGGCTTCCGTTCTGTCTGGACCGGGGTGTCCAACACGTGTGCTGTAGGGAAACAAAAATTGGAGACGGAAGCGCCACTACCTAGCGCAATAAATGTGGTAGAGTGGGGTGTAGGCGTAAGTGTTGTACTCACCTGAGGCTGGGTGAGTATTCGCTTGTAATCGTCGGGTGGTGGTCAAGCGGATGGGGTGGAGTGGTGGTGGTAGTAGTCCCTCTTTTTCAGGGTGGCGTGGTGTTTCGACCCAGTAGGCAAATGGGGATACAAACACGAGGGGGTGAGGTATGCAATGGTGGGTGAAACACCAGAAGCTCACCCCTTTTTCACCCACCATTGCATACCTCACCCCCTCGTGTTTGTATCCCCATTTGCCTACTGGGTCGAAACACCACGCCACCCTGAAAAAGAGGGACTACTACCACCACCACTCCACCCCATCCGCTTGACCACCACCCGACGATTACAAGCGAATACTCACCCAGCCTCAGGTGAGTACAACACTTACGCCTACACCCCACTCTACCACCTTTATTGCGCTAGGTAGTGGCGCTTCCGTCTCCAATTTTTGTTTCTCTTTTCTGTTTTGAAATGACCGTATTCATGTGCACAAAGCAAGCTCCACAAAGACATTGTTTTGACTGCTTTAGTGACTGCTTTAGTGTAGAGGAACTCGAGTGCACAGACTGTAACCTTACTGAATAAACATATTTGGGATGAACTGGTGGAATGCAGATTGCAGGTCAGGTCTTTTCATCCAACATTAGTACCTGACCTCTACATCAACTACATGGGCACAAATTTCCACAGACATGCTCCATAACTCTGTGTAAAGCCTCTTCAGAAGAGTGAAGCTTTTAGGGCCTATTCACACTAGCCTCTGCGCTACATCACACATCAACTGGTGTGTGGTGCCAGGCACGGTGCCAGTACATTGCAGTGTGTAGTTTTGTTTTTTTTAAGAACTTTATTAAAATATCACAAGTGACAGGCATTTCACTCAATGGGCACAGCGTTGTGCAAGTAGGTTGTACCTTGTCGCATCCCACTGTGCAGAAAAAAAATAACTACATGCTGTACTTTTTTCAGCACACATCACCACAACGTGGTGTGAATGGTGCCCATCCAAGACAAGGCAAATTATCTTGTTTTGGATTGGGGTTGCACTAGAAAAAAACAGCCAGCGCAGTCCCAACGCATCTGGTGTGAATGGGCCCTCCTCGATACAAAGAAGGTGGGGGTGTGGGCAGTCAAAAGTAATGCCCCCTGGTTTGGGAAAGGGATATCCAATAAGCTTATATTAGGTATGATGGTCAGGGGTCTGCAAACGTTTGGCCATACAGTGCTCCAGGATGGGTCAAAAAAATGCCAAATGCAAGGTCCCAACTCCTCCCCTATCCTCCTGGGGTTCCAGTTCCTCTGCTGCATTCTCTCCAACAGGGCGAGTGTAATGGTTGCAGCAGTTGAGGAGATCTAAAGCCACAATGTAGAATATGCAGTAGATGACTTGAACATAAGACAGATAGTTTCCTTAATTGACCATTTCCTGTCCAGTGTCTTCTGATTAACATGAGGTACAAGATCTGAGAGTTCCAGTAACAATGCAGAACTCTGGTGCTTTAAGACCAAGTCTCTGACTGGTAGCGGCCATTTTTTTCTAGCGTGTTCAGATACTGTTCAGCCTCTGCAGAGGAAAAGGTCCCCTCACTCTGGAAGATTTCTTTCAAGGCGTCGGTCACTTGCGTCGGCATTGATTTGGCATTTCTAACAGAGAGATAAAAACTTATTAGTATAAAAATACACAAGACATAATATGGTGCTATAAATGGGCACTCTGCCCAGAACCAATATTTCAGTTTTGTCCAGATTACTGACTGGTGTGTTATGTCTCAGGGGATAAGGTTTCTGTACCAGAAGTGGCAGTCCTGCCCATCTGTTGGATTCAAACTTATTATACATTAGACAGAATACAGCAGGATACATGAGACTGTAAAGTGGGTAGAGTCAGGAACTCTGTAACTGCCAAGAAATATAGGAATCAAGTTGTGGACAGACCGGCCCTTTAAAGAAGAGCTTCAGGTTTAGCCAAAAAGGCAATATGCATTTGTGTGACCATGCTGTAAATAGGTGACATTTATTTTATTAAAACATTCTTTAAATGTTGTAAAAAATAACTTTAAAAACATAGGATTAAAGAAAATAAACCTAGGCCAAAGCAATTTCAGTTTTTCAACAACTGCAGATATAAATTTCTCACCCAGCGAGGTAGAAGTAGGCTTGTTTTCTATTGATGAGGTCCCAGAGATATGCTGCATTTTCCTTAATTCGATGCTGAACATATATCTTATCCTCCTGTGTAAATACATAAGTTAATAAGCAACTAAAAAATGGAGGACAATAGACAAATTTAAGACATTAAGAAACATCACTCTCCAGTAAGGGCACTGAATATTACCGAGTACTGAACACTCACAGCTATTCTGTACAGTGAGTCAGACGAGACGCAGGCTTGCATTATCAGATGTGCACCTGTTCCCAGGCCATGAACACTAACAGGGTTATTCACTAGAGGGTGAAGAGTTTGGAGAAGGCCGGAGAAGTGAACAATCTAGGCCAAAATAGCTGAACTGGAAAGTGAGATAAATTGGAGAATGTTTCCAGTTCAGCTATGTTGTCCTAGATTGGTCACTTCTCCTGACTTCTCCAAACTCTTAACCCTTTTGTGAATAACACTATAAATGATGTACATATTCTTAACAAGCAGCAAAAGAGATTTAACCTCTTGCCGTCCGCCAGTAGTAAAAACACGGACGGACGGCACTGCTGCATTTGCGGGTTGCCGTCCCCAGACGGCAATTATTTTCTGCTTGCGCGCGCCCCCTAGCGGGCACGCACGGGCAGAAAAGACCCGACCATTAAACACACCCGTTACCGGGTGTTTCACATATAGGCGATCAGCGGGTCCATAGCCCGCCGATCGCCTATATGTGCTCGTTCGCGGCGCCCCCCTGACCCCTCACCTTGAATCCTGGGATGCGCTGCCCCATCTTGAATCCCGGGACCGGCTCGGAGGGCGTCAGGAGGAGGAGGAGGACGGGAGATCAGCTCCTTGCTGATCTCCCTCCGGGCTGTGAATGCAGAAGTGATGTGATGCGAGTGAGAGCAATCATTTTATCACTGATAACACTAAATCAATACTGATAACAACACCATCAATCACTGATAACACTAAACTGATGAGCGGTAACAGCTTTTAAAGCGTCGCCTATGGCCAATTTGTTTCTAAGTTTTTTGAGGTTTCGCGCACGCACGCAATTTTAAGGCTTGACATGTTTGGTGTCTTTTTACCCGACGTGACCCCGTCTTTTATATTTTACCAAAAAATTGGGTAATAATAAATGTTTTATCATTTAATATAAGGGAAACTGTTTTTTTTTTTTTTTAAATTCGGTAATTTTTCCTTAATATAGTAAAAAAATAAAACCCCCAGTGGTGAATAAATACCACCAAAAGAAAGCTCTATCTGTCCCAAAAAAAGGGTATAAAATTAATTTCAGTACAGCGCTGCATGACGGAATAAATGTCAGTTAAAGTACCGCAGCGCTGAATACTGAAAAATGGCCTGGATGGGAAGGGGGTTTAACACACCGGATGTCAACTGGTTAAAACATTGGCCAATGTTGCTGCAGGTACTATGAAGTAATTCATCCTAAAAGACTGCAAAGAGATTCTGAAGTCTGCTTTTAGTTGGTTTCTTCTTTTAACCCTCTTTTAAGAATGTGGAAATACTGTAAATCGGCACGACTTGAGCAGAGAGACAAGAACAGATTTCCACACACTTCCTGCTGTTTCTCCAGGATGAGAAGAGAGGAGATATCTCAACAATGTGACACAGAAAGCAAACAGAAGGTTGCATCAGTATTATACCATAAAAGATAAATGAGGAGTCAGAGAAAAGTAATCAGACCACATAAAAAATAATTATGGTCTAAAAACCAGTTTATATATAAAACAATTCCCTGCTGACAATAAGAATTTTTGCAGACAAATATGGATATCTGGTAGAAATAGAAGAATAACTGCAAGTGAAATAACTGTTACGTGGAATAGTTTGGACTTTTTATTCACAACTGAAAACTTACACTTTTTTTTATAAAACCATTTAGAGTATAAACCCGACTTATCAGGACCGTACTGACCTGGTCACGACTGAATGCTGTGAATAGCGTCAGAAGCCCTCTTTTCTCCAGTTCTGCCCATTCCTGCTGGAAGTAGAAATCATTGTTCTTCCCTCTGCAGCCAAAAAACAGACAACTGCCTGCAAGAAACCCAAATGAAATACTCATTTCTTCCAGAAGGGGGCGCTGGTGTACCTCATCAGATGTGATCATTACAGACCTGTCTTGTTAAGAGCTGCTCTTTCTTCAATGGCGGCATGGAAGGGGGCTACACCAGTTCCAGGTCCCACCATTATCACTGGGGTGTCTGGGTCACCGGGGAACTTCAAACTACCTTTTTTAACCCATAGAGGGATCCGTACTCCTGAATGAGAGAATAAGAGAAATGAAGAAAGGTCATCCGTTTGTGTGTCAAAAAGAAAATCAGAGAGTTTTATAAAACACATATAGACTGGATTTATTTACAGTGAATGGAGGAATGCTTACAGTCTAGTGTCCTGATCACTGATCACAGTCACACAGAGTATAAGGTAATCTGAATGAAAGCCAATTAACAATGGGTGGCATATACAAATTCCATGCATACTGTACCTACTAGGAATGAGAACCATGGACCACAGTGCTGAAAAGCCAATGCGCTAACCATTAAGAAAAATGACAGCAAAGCATAGAAGACCGGATTTGTAAACGTTTCTCTTCATTTACGGCCTATATGACTGCACTAGACACTGACAGGTCCTCTCTATTTTTACAGAAGAAACATTTTTGAGTTTATTCCCTGTTATGTCTCCACACACCTTAGTGTATCCCGGAAAAAGGCAATCAAAATGATAAATCCTGGGTTATTATGGTTTATTTTGTTGTAACAGCTGAAAATTCTTTACTGACCCATAACAGTAGTTGGATAAATCCTCAACATTCTACTGTACCTCGAATTGTAAGTAGCATTTTATTACTTGTTCTTTTAGGAAACACCCTGTCCTTTCTGAAAAAATAAATATTCTCCTCACTTCCTGTCTCAGAAGCTACCTGCCACCAGGACAGGAAGTTAGGTGAAATTTCCCCAATGGAGACACAGACCGCAATGGCTTGAGATACATTTAAAAGCACCAGTTATTTTAAGGTTTGGTGGATGCTGGAAAATACCTCTGCAAAAGGTGGAAATGGGCTTTAAGCTGACCATACACTATATAAACTTCTTGATGAACTGGCCGAAATTCATTGAGTGGGTGCCCTTATTACCACCCTTCCGCACAGCATCCTTCATTCAGAAAATCGCCCCCCTCCTCTGCATTCTTTTCAGGATATAATTTCTGTAAAACAATACCCAAATCTGAACTTCACATTACAGAAAAAGGATTTCCCATTCAGCCAATCAACTTACCGTTGCTAGGACTGATAGATGCTAGCCACGCTGAGCACAGGCCACGTCGAGGTTCCTGTAATCTGGTTTTATACTGGACTACGGCCATCAGGATATGCAGTCTGTTTGGGTGGGCCTTCAAAAGCAGAACAATACAACATATAACAAGCTTGTAACATGTAACACAAGGAGAGCACACCATACAACATTCATGTGTCAGGATCGGTGCATCAGCACTGTGCCAGGCACTGCACACCAGCTGCTGCACACCAGCTGTGTGAATGGACCCTCAAAATTAGTTGTAGCACACTGTTTTCAAAGGAGGGAAGCAGAATATAATTCATTCAGAAAATCAAAGGATAGATAATGAAGCAACAGCAAGCATGTACAAAATGGTAAAGAAGTACTCTGGGCAAAACTTTTAACCCTTGCAATGTGGCTATGGGTAAAACCTTTAACCTTTGCAATGCGGCTACCCCCACACTGCAAGGTTTAACTGTTTGTTTACATCTAGGTGGTGAGATAAAAAAGTTGTACTCATTCAAAACCCGGAGACGGCTGGCTGTTACATCGTTCCCTCCAGCCTGTCTCCTCCTATGCTGCAGCAATGAGATGTCATTCGGCGTCCTCACGTCCAATACAGTGTATTGGACAAGATGACTCAAGGATCTTTGGACCACTGCAGTGGAGGAGGAGCGAGGCTGAAAGGACCAGTCTAAGAGCAAACCAGCACCAAGGATCGAGTGAGTATAACTTTTTTTACTCAAGCATCTAGACAAAAATGAGCATATGTCCTTTGCAGTGCAGGGTTCGCCCCACTTCAATGGTTAATAAAAGTTGTGCCCGGAGCTCTTCTTTAAAGTTAAAATACACTTCCCTTTAAGGTAGTGTTAAAATGTTTTTGTTTTTTTTCATCTTACCAGCTTCTCATCAAACATAAATTCACATCCCGGTGATAATTAAGACTTGAGGGGGATCCTGGATTGCAACCTGAAGAGATTCAGGATTCCCCTTGGTCGTAATTATCACTGGGATGTACATTTATCTTTAAAATGATTTCAAATGACAATAAAGTCAAACAAATGTTTTCCCTCCCTCCAATGTTAATGTCAGCACTTACCTTCACTGATGTCTCTTAATCCGATCTTCCTCTTCTTCCTGATGTTTTCATCTGTCCCTCCAGCGCTGTGATGGGTCTCTGATCCAGCGCTGACCCCTCTGTCCTTGCTGGCACTTCCTGTCCCACGGTGTCTGCATGCGGGTGCATATGTCCATAGACTTACCTTGTGCCTCTCCTCGTCTCCCGCCAAAAATCTGAACTGCGCATGCGCTCGCCCCAAGATGCTTTGCGGCCGCCCGAGCAGTTTCGGATTCTCGGGCGTAACGGGGTAAGTTTAAACTGCTGTTAAAGCGTTATGGTTTTTAAAAAAAACATTTTGCATATATCTACTGCTTGCTAGCATTAGATATAGGCAAACAAAACGGGAGGGTTTAGAAACCCTTTAAGTTACCCTTTGATCGTCTGGTATTGGCAAAGCACAGACTCACTTGAAATTAATGTAGGGTTCAAGAGCTGCAATAAAAACAAACTCGTATGTAATATATGCAGTGTCCACCACAACACATTAACGTAACAACATTATTATCAGAGGAGAGTATTTGTCAGAATGCTCTCACCTGCAAAGAGGAGGCTATAGAGAAAGCTCGAGGTCGGATGCGAGGTATGAGGTCCAGAAGGTAGTCAGCTGGGATATTACAGGTGGTTTGCGGGAAATCAGCCAGAACCTGGTAGACCACAGGGGGAATAAAATCAGACGTGCCATCATCTGTGACACTAGTTTATTTCAATCATGTTGTTATGATGTGGAAAACACATACAGGGTTATTCACAAAAGGGTGAATAGTTTGAGAGTGGAGAATTCAGCTCACTTTCCAGTTCAGCTATGTTGTCCTAGATTGTTCACTTCTCTTGCCTGCTCCAAACTCTTCCCCCTTTTGTGAATAACCCTGATAGAATCACAATAGAGATTTAAATAAATCAGCAAATAATAGCAAAACACAGGGCAAACACCTAAATATGTGGCTGTTAATAATTATGTCCAGCCAATCTTGTGATATACACACATTTTTCTCACTGCACAGCCAGACAGGTGGCACACACAATCAATTCCCTTTCCTGGTTCAGGAGTCCAGCTTCCTGTGTCACCTTAAGGATAGGCAGGTAGCTAGAGTTTCAGTTTAAATGATTCATTCACACAGGAGACAAGCTGGTTCATAGCAAATAATGATCAACCTGTCGAAAACTCTAGCCCCCATTCTTTTTCCCATACTACGCTGCCCAGATAAGTTCAAACACTCACGTCATTAGAGAAAAAATTGTCAGCTAAGCGATCTTTTCACAGCCCGTGTCCCTGTATGGCAGAAGTTAAAGACCTCAACATAAAATGATGTTGCTTTTCACACTTGGAGGTCCCCATGCTAAGTGTACCTCAAGGGTGGTGCGTCGGGGCCGGTTGCAATAAGTATATAATTCATCTTGCCCAGCAGCAGAGCTGAATTCCTGCAGCTTTTCCCTCTCTTGTTCATCCACTGAAAAGTAGGAGAGCAGCTGGAAGAAGGAGCGGCGAGGCACACAGTGGATATCCAGATACTTCTCCACCAAATGATATACTGTGCATGGCTGAGGCAATTGTGGGGGAAGCGGCATGTCTGCAAAACATCAGCACAACAGACTGCAATGAAAATACAACTCAATTCTTAATTTAATCAACCACTAATAACAAAACCATAGCTCATGACCACAGGGGAGCAAGGCAAGGTAGAACTGTAAAAAGAACAGTGATGTAACATATGCACATGTATGCAAGTGAAACCTTTGTTTTGTTTTTATACAAAAGGAGGCAGGTGCCAGCGATGGGAATAAGGTTTGTCCATGGGATTGCTGGGTTTATGCTCCATAATAGCCGCGGTTCCACAGCACCTCATATTATAGCTGCTGCTTCTCATAATCTTGAGGCTTTAATATGCACAGATATACTAGAATTGGTTGGATTGGTGTCTAGAGCTAGGCTTTATACATGTGCCCCATCTGAAGGCTTCCCAAGAAGCCAGCTAAGGCACATCCAACTTAGAGGTGGCCCCAGGGCAGACTAAGAATGCACTGGCAGGGAAGCAGCCGCTGACTGTACAATCATTTCAATCATTATCTCCCAGGTTGCCCTTTCTAGATCATAGGGTCATTGCTTACCTGAATCTTGGTGCTCTAGAAAAAACACTTTGTTTGGATCAAGTCGAAGAAGCGCGCAGAATTTCTCCACATCCTGCTGGGAATTTTGCGGCTGGATCATCACCACATCCCCAGGAGAAAACCTGAAAGAAGAGTGAGAAAAGAATCCACCATTCTGCGCCAACTATACACAATTTGCTTTGTAGTCTAGTGTGTGTCCAGTCCTCCTCTTCACCATGTCACAATCAAGAGCAGGTCTGAAAACGGAAAAATAAAACTCCTCTTCCATGATGCAATGGGAGCTGTTCATGTTCCTGATTAACCTGTACTGCCAAGGTGAAGGTGTCCAACTGGGCTGGCTATTATCATGTTTCCCATTGGAGGTAAGAACTATTTTGCAGTAACTACTGGTAATTACAGCTCCTCATTTAAACAGGACATACTGATGATTCCTGCAGGCGCCTACAGATGAGAGATGACAGTCACACCCTAATTAACCATGATCGGACAGTTTAGCATAACTTACTGGATGCCAGACCCAGTGATGTCGAACTCAATTAGCCTCACATCCTGGAAGTGGTTGGCTGCAGTTACTCGCTGGTTGGTCAGTAGTGGAGCTTGGAATGGGTGTAATTCTGTTGCAGTCCCACAAGTGTCAACTCTCTCTACTATTCCGTCCTCTGCTGTCACTTCTTGGTCCAAGAAACGGAGAGTAAACTTTGGGGGTAACCTGCAAACATAAGGACATTTTATACTATTACCGTAGCTTGAAATTCCAGGAGTCTGTTCATACTTCATATGTTGTTCATGACCTTAAAGTGGAACTACACCCTCCTTTCCTTACAACCAAGGAAGGTGTCTCTATTTGGATTGCAGTTGCCATGGTGCTTGAAAGTTCAGTTGAGAACTGAAATAAGCACACTGGTAACCTTGACAGTAATTATCAGAGGCATGCCTTGAAAGTAACTGTATTGGGAGCCAGTTAAATTGGTGGGTCTAGTTTCACTACAAATCCCATAATCCCTCTGCCTTTGGGTGCCATGCCTGTCAGTCTTGCAATGCTTCATAGGACTTGTAGTTCCACAACAGCCGGAGTGCCGGAGTTGGCCACCCCTGGTCTAGATTAACTTTAACCACTTCACTGCTGTATGTTTAGGAAGAGAGGAGTAGCGGAAGTGTATTTCTGCCATACCCTTTATAAATGGCACTGCGGAAACAAGGCAATGACGGCCACTATGCCTGTTAATGGCTGTGATCTGAGCCGTTATCAGGCAGCTCACATCGCAGACACAGTGAATGCAGCTGATCCAAGTGGGCGGTCATTACGCTGACCCCAAATGTAAACACTATAGTGTTTACATCTGAAGGCCCACCTCTTCCTCTCACAATGGAGTAAGGAAAGGAAGTAGTACATATCAATCATGGGCAATGAATGCATGCATCAGCAGCAGAAGGTCTATTGTGTGGGATTTTAATTGTTGGGGGTGGTTATTTTAACCCTTTCACTCTTTCCTCTCCTGTACATCTCATACCTGTCTCTACATGATCTATATAAACTTCTTCACCTCCCTTATCCTGCATGTTAAAGCCAAACTCCAAGAAAAAAATGATAATTTACGCACCGCGCTGGACTGAACATGTGACACTCCATTTTGCCTCTTAATAATTTGGTTCCTGAGTGGCTGATCCCCAGGGCTGAACGGTGTCATCTGGGGGTACAGTTTGACTTGCGTAACTTTCGGCTTTCAGAAAAGTTAGAAAGAATTGCAAGGACTGAGAGCAGATATCTGCAAAGGACACTTAAAGTGACATTAAACCCTCAGATTTTTTTACATAAACCAATACTGTAATGTGCGCCTTACTGTAATCCGTGGTTGTTTCCCTTCTCTTTGCTGCTCTTCCTTTTAAAACTGTATCTGTTCTCATGCTCTGCAGAACTTCTGTTTTGCAGCAGACTGCCTTGTCTCAGGAATGGATACACGGTGTCTGTGTATCTGTTTGTATAGGCTTGTAACCTGAGCCAACACTACAGGAAGAGGCCCTGAACTGAAAAGGGAAGTTCTCCCCAAGCATGAGAAGACATGAGTCAAAGCAGTGAAGCGCCGCAAAAAGATAATCCCTCCTCAATGGGAAATCCTTAAAAGCACACTGCAGGATGCTGCCCCCCAAAGAAGCCGGGAAAGCTGTGGAATCTGAAAAAAGAAAACAGAGGGGGCGCCTTTCCTGGTGCAGATTAACTTTATTTTCAATAGTCAAAGATAAACCGAAAGATACTCACAGACATAAAGAGAAGACATGAGGATTTAAAAGGAAGAGCAGCAAAGAGAAGGGAAACAACCATGGATTACAGTAAGACACACATTACACTATAGGTTTATGTTAAAAAAAGGGTTTAATGTCACTTTAAGTCAATTCAATAAAAAATCCCAACAGTGTTAAAACACCACTTTCAGTGCTGAGTTATCTTTAGGAACAATGGGGGTTTTTTTGTGCAGGAAGAGGCTGAAGCATTTATCAACGCAAAGCAACAAACAGATGCCCCTCAATACAATACAATTCTATGCATGGATGATTCAAATCCCACAACAGAAATACCCCTGCCTGATGGCACTTACCTGATATCGTCACTGATTATGCTGAGACCTGGAGGTAAGGGATGCAGAGAGAGGACATTATTCCATAGATGTTTCAGCCATGGATCCACCACAGCATCTGGACTATGGAAAAAAAGCAAACAAAAACTTAAAATCATAATATTCATACTAATTAGGACATCTGGTGCCAGTATGTTATTGTTCTGGAACTCCAGATACCATCGTATCTTTGTTCTGGGACCCCATAGTGTTAGTGTGTAATTAATATCCTGGACCCCCCCCCCACGTTTGTTTCAGTGCAAAATTGTTCTGGAGCCCCGGAGGGTCAGTGTGTAATTTGCTAAGTACGGTTCTTTACCCACATTACAAATCACATCACACTGTCTGATAATTAACCCAGGTCGTGCTGGTCATCTCCTACAGCGGGAGACAGAATTGGGTTACCACCAAGCTGGAGAAGTGGGCTCAGGCAAACTGGGTTCACACTGAGTCTCTGGTCATCACTATTCTGGGACTCCAAGTGCCAGTGTGTCATTGTCATGGGACCCCAAGTGTCAGCGTGTCACTGTTCTGGGACCCCAAGTGTCAGCGTGTCACTGTTCTGGGACCCCAAGTGTCAGTGCGTCACTGTTCTGGGACCCCAAGTGTCAGTGAGTCACTGTTCTGGGACCTCAAATGTCAGTGTTTCATTGCTCTGGGACCCCAAGATTCTGTTTGTCACTGTTCTGGTACCCCAAGTGTCAGTGCCTCATTGTTCTGGGACCCCAAGATTTAGTGTGTTACAATCCTGTTTCACCCCCCCCCC